TCGCTATGACCAACACCATTCTCCGCCACAACACTTTATTGAACGAAGAAATCGCCCGGTTAACAGAATTTGAACAGAATAGATACCAAGCCATCATGACCACAAAATTTTATAAACTCAAAAGAGACCATGGGCCCGACCCCGAGTTTCTCAATATAGTTCCTTATCACTACAATACCACCACCCAGAAAACCACTAACGATACAAACGAGCACCCATCTATGAACACACCCTGTGACACTGTGATTGCAAAGCTATCGGACACGAGTTTGTCACCTGACAAAAAAACTGCTATCTAAAGGACTAAGCTTTTGCCCGACCACAAAATTTTTCGATGAAATCCACTTGCTCCGCGACCTCGACAACTTCGCTAGAAGCTTAAGGTTGCGCGAATATTTCTTGGACAGGCCTTCTAACCACGGCACAATTCACCAACGTAAAACAAAAGAAGGACACCGAACAGTAATCGAGACAAGTGCCTTGACCTTTATATCACCGCAGTACAGAAAAATATAGTACACGAATACCACAGACAGAAAAGAAAACGGGAAAACTTCTCAAAATCTTAAAAATTTTAAATGAGAAATCTGGCATCTAGGACAAACATAACAATAACACCCGCTAACAAAGGAGGAGCAATTGCTTGCTTCCTCTTTCAATTTTTAAATGTGTCTTGCGTTGCGTGTAGCTAGCCGGAGTAGTGATGCCTGTATCAAAGCGCTCAAAGAACAATAGGAAGAAGCGTTTTTTTTTGAACCTCAATATTAATTGGCCATTGACTGTGTCATCAAGGTGCTTGAGGAAGCAGATGACGCTGAGACTTCTCTTTAGCGCACACTGCAGGCTCTTTGTGGTTTCGCTTGCGTTACGCCAAATGACAAAGACAGCATGGCTCCCTGAAGTGATCCGCACTTGAAAGAGGACACTGTGGAATTACAATAGCTACGAGGAGGTGACAAAAATTCGGAAAAGAGAGAAGGCTCCTGGTCTGACTTGGCAATGCAGTCTTGTGCAGGAGATCAGACATGAACGCAAGGTTGGAAATGAAGCAACACGGCGGAATTGCTTTATTAGCTAACGGAAGAACACCGCATCAGGGGTTGCAAGATGACACAAGTTGTGCACCACTCGATGGCAGCGTAGCTAGCAGCAAGAAAGACCTCCAGGGACGATTGCGTAAGAGGGCTGGACTAGGAATATTTTCAGCTACTTCAACATGTCAATACGAAACGGAGAAAGGGTATTGTCAAATAAATACCTAAACAGCAAGAGACCGAGCGAAAAAAGAATCATCAGTTAAGAAAAAAATGGTAAAGAAACGCTTAAAATGGGAATGCTTACACAATCACAAAAGACAACGGACACAACTTTCAAGCAAGATATCGCCAAAAAAATCATCTACGATAACTCTCACCGTTGAAGCCAGGAAGATAGTACTGCGGACTTGGAGGCGCCGAGCCAAGTTCAAAACACACTAAGCAGTTCGTATGGAGGGCAGGATGAAACAGCTTTTGTGTAAGCTTGTCCCTACAATCTAAGGCGATGGGGCACAAAACATTAGAGTTTTGGGACATCGACGGCAAAACAGACTTTACAGGGGCAGTGATGACCAAGAGGAGGTTATTTGATTGCCGGATCGATCAAAGGAAATAAATAAATTTAAATTTCAAAGCACAGGCTTCGCACTTCTCTGTGGGTCACGTTCACGTGGCGCCGCCTGATCAGACTGATTTGATTGATATGTGGGGTTTAACGTCCCAAAACCACCATATGATTATGAGAGACGCCGTAGTGGAGGGCTCTGGAAATTTCGACCACCTGTGGTTCTTTAACGTGCACCAAAATCTGAGCACACGGGCCTACAACATTTCCGCCTCCATCGGAAATGCAGCCACCGTAGCTGGGATTCGAACCCGCGACCTGCTGGTCAGCAGCCGAGTATCTTAGCCACTAGACCCCCACGGTGGGGCCCGCCTGATCAGAAGGGAATATACATGCGAGCGAGGCTGAACAGGTGTTTGAACTTGCGTTAATCTGATACGTAGTTAACACCACGCTTAATACCTAAGTGCACAGTGGAAGGCCGTCAAACACATGTGTTTTACTGGGCGTTTTTTTAGAAAATACAGACCATTTTTTTACAAAAGTCCTGTGACAGTCATGCTCCTGTTGTTTTTCCGCATGAGCTCCATGTCGAGGCCGAAATATTTTTCGACGTTAAAATGACGCTTTCATGAATATTTATCAAAACTCCCTGATGCCATTTTTAATTATTCACTTGGGTGCGTGCAGTTGCTTTGTTTTGGTCTTGTTTGAAACAATATTTTCAAGTAATTTAGCGCAGAAGTTTTCGAAGCGGGAGAAAGCATGTTTGTTTATTCTTTTCGTCTTGTCCAGCTTTGAGAAAAATTGCGCTAGATAACTTCTACTTGGGTGCAGTTTTTTGTATTAAAGAGTTGTAACGCGGGATAATTTATGGCATAACCCTTTCCTTAAGAAATCACAAATCTTGCACGTAGATCGAGGTATTCATGATTGAATTTCAAGTGTGATATCTAATGTGATTACACACAGCAGGCACGAAGCCCAACAACTCTGCTACGTTATACCATAACTGCTCGTGACATAGAATTGACGAAATCTGAAACAAGTTGTGTGGAAACGGATTCTTGTCAAAAGAATTATCAAGAACGCTTAGTTTATATACACGAGTATACAGCTCACCGATTGCATGCGATTTGTTGTGCTTCCCTTTTTCTTTCTCATAGGTCTATTAAGAAACCCAAGCTCTAAAAATTGTAATAAAGAAAAATGTGCGCACTGTTGCTTTGCAAACATGCTGCCTCCAAAATTTCGCAGACATGTGCGACGATAAAGAACTTACGAGAGTGAGAACGTCTGTTCCTCCCTTCTCCCCCATAGGGAAGGCGTACAGCTCATCGTTGAGACACTTCCCTATTCGGCAACGTGACACGACGTCAGCGATACGTACTCGGCGCGTAGCCAACGGTCAAGCAGGGCATCCCCACATGAGCACGTGTCATAGCGACGCGAGCAGCACCGTTCCCCAAGAGGTGAGGTGGCGAGACACCTTTTCATATCGGAGGCTATTGTTCTGGCATTACCGCTTCTCCCGCTAGCTTCTGGCTCTACAAAACGGCGCAGGGCCGCAGAGGAAAAGGAAAATGTGAGCTGCGTTACCGAAACTGCGTCACCACTGGGCCAAGGCACCGTTTCATAGGGTCAATGACCAATGGAGCTGAGCAGTACGTCCCGTTGTCCATGAACAAGTTAGAGTCACTGCGAGTACGAGGGTTAGTGGTCAGAAAGAAAGAGGCGCGGGAATCGTTTTCCAAAATGGAGGGTCTGTGCGGCGTGCGGCGCTGTAATATGCGAGAAGTGTGATCGCCGTGGTCTACTATACGAACTGGTGAGCTTTTTCGGAAGACATAAAAAAAGTTGGGGCCTCCTTACTAGCCATTTAGGCTGAACTATGAAGAGGCGCGAGAAACTATTTCGCCAGTCTACGCAAGGAGAAGCGGTGCAGCGGCTGCCCCAGAGTTTTATGCTCCGCAGGCAACCAAAAGGTTCATCTTTCATTTTGTTGTGTACAGCTTCAACTAGACAGACAAGCGTCAAACATTACATGCCATAACAGAAAGACGCGCCCGTACAGGTAGGATTGCTTGCCGCTTTCCACGAAAACATACGGCGCGCCTTCGACCAGATTTCGTCACTTCCCTGTCACGGACAGTTCCGGTCTCACGCCGCAGACATGTCGCGCTTCGTGCGCGCTGGGCGCGACCAGTCTCTATCTCATCCTGGAAATTTGATGATCTATTACTGGAACAAAGTGCAACTTTTGTGATTACGAAAAAATGCTTCTTCCATGACTTATGATGCACTAGAACTTTCTACTATAAAAACTGCACTCAAGTCAGCAATTGAAAAGTTGATGAACAAGTCTTGGAACGCAGCTCCTATAGCTAGGCCCCCGTTGGTGCGTTGAGTGGCATCGCTGTTGGCATTGTCAATGTTGGCGTAACTGACACAGCGAACGAAGATAGCAAAACGTCGACAGACGGACGCGCGCTGGCCGCTCAGTCGGAGATCGTGCGCATGCGGCACTGTGGCCGACGGGGCTTTCGGCGTTTAGCTTGGCAACAGCTTTTGTGGCAACATGCTACGAATGCTACATCGCTACACAGCAGGTAGCCAAAATTTTAAAAGCAGCTGGTGTTGCTGCGCCCTGAATTCGAATTAGGCCAAATCGTAACAGTCGGTCAATTATTTATCTAGATTAGTCACGTTAAAGTCATTTCAGTTGTAGCTAACTATTACTGTCTCGCGTGCAAAAATGACACAAACATGAGTGCCATAGGATTTTCATCACAAAACAACTGTACTTTGTACAAAAAAAGCTTCTCCATAATGTAGATATTTACCCGAAGCAATTGTTCAATGTACTCTGCTGCATTACCTATAATGATGACATAACAATGAACGAACAAGCTTCGTTTAAGACTGCAAGAAAACAATAATTTTCGTAGTGAAAATTTTTTATCGATCAAGTGAATAACATCATTAACCTCAAGTTCAAGTCGACTCCACGAGCAGCATACAAAAGTAATAAGATGCATTGGATATATTTGCCGATGGTTGTAGCACAGAAAGCATCCGCTCTCAAATAAATGCACATTGAGTGGTTGCAAAAACGGGCATGAAAGGCGAACATTTCGTAACGTATTTTGCGAACGGAGATACCCCTCTTTGGTGTGCTGTGTAGCGCCCTAAGAGAGTAACTTACTCGAAGTGGTGAACACACAAAGGGAACGTTATAAACCACGAAGTTGTAGATTGAACACCGCATCTGCAGTTTGTTTACAAAAATGTAGCCAGAGTGTCACTCATTTTGTGCCATTCGAGTAAAGTGTGCAGTGTTCCAAAGTAGTCCGGAATGGGATCATGCGGACCTGAAGAAAAAACTGACACGCACTCACCAATGGTGGTGATCACAGTAAGCGAGTAGAGAAAGGCGCCCGAGAAGGACCATTGCTGTCCGCCCGTGCCGATCTCCTTGCCATCGTAGCCGTCCTTTACGGCTGCTATGAGGCGCGCCTGGAAGTCCAGGATCTCGTGCGAGACGGCGGCCGTCCAGTTCTCCTTGTAGAGCACGTTCAGGCGGTCGGTGATCTCCCAGAGGCGCGCCACGGTCTCGCGGCGCATGGCGATCACCTGGCTGGCCTTCTCCACCTCGTAGGGAGCCTCGAGCGCGCGGAAGGCGAAAGCGCCCAGGATGCTGTAGCCGACCACGAGCGCGCACAGACCCACGTGCGAGAAGAGAAACGCGGTGAACTTGCGGCAACACGACTTGCAGCGGTTCTCGGGCGGCGCCACAGCTGATGCGGCCGCCCCACCGGCTCCGTGGTGGTGGTGATGCCGGCGGGAGGACCGCTTGCGCTCCATGGGCTCCTCAGCGAGGCCCCCGCCGCCTTGCCGTCCATGAGCCGGCCAGCATGGCTGCGCACTGCTGCGGCCTCCGCCGCAGAGCGCCTACGCGCCTGCGCGGGGTAGTTCGGAGAGCGAGGCTGCAGCGACGTCCCCAAATTAACGAGCGCTCCCAGTAAAAGCGCCGGCCGAGGGGATCGCTATTGCAGCGCCGCTTTGCGGTGATCTTTGACGGAGTCGTGAGCACAAAAACGCGTGCTTCAATTTGGATGTCGTGGTGTGCACAACTGCCGTGATATGGCGCTGCATATGCTCTTGCGTCTATCGGCTCCGGCGAGCATCATTCTCGGAATTTCAGTTGTCGCGCTGTGTTGGCCAAAACCCATAGGGGCGCGCTCGCCGAACGAGAGCACGGAGGGAGCTCGTGACGTCAGCGGCCGTCGCCGTCATCCCCGGGCGCCAAGCCCGGAGGAGAAACGTGTAGCAGCGATCGGATCCAAAAGAACCTCCTCTCGGTCCCTATCTCTGGGTCGCGGGGCCGTACAAACAAACCGAACGCCTGGCGTGCGCTCCTATATATTGACATGAAAGGCGCACCCTTGAGCGGACTGAATGCTGGTCGGTCAAGAAAGAGGCAAGGTCCTTTAAACGCGCCAAAAGAACATCGGGTAGAAGCAAAAACCGAACGCGTGCCGGCGCATTGGAGAAGGAGAGCTCGAAAAATGACGCCTCGGACACGAGAGCGTCGGATGGCCGGTTGTTCGCGCACCACCTACAAGTAAATCTCATTCGGCAGGGCGCACTAATTATTCGAGAAATTTCGAACACTCCAACGTCACACGCTCAAGTTTTATTTCTTTATTTCTTTGCATGTTTTGACGATGATGTTTGTGAAAGGCTCTAGAAAAAGCTTGGTTGAACAGTTCACGCACACCTTTCAATTTGGCATGGCAGATGCTTTAACGGCGCTTTCTGCCACATCCACCCAGATTCAAGCACTGTCAACCGTTACTGCGTGTATCTTTTCAACTATAAGAATATGTGGATAACTTTGTCAATAGGTCACATCACAAAGACGCCAATTGCGGGGGGGGGGGGGGGGCGAGGGTATGGACGCACTACGAACCCACCTATTGTACCAGATACCTTTGTGAGCCTATATACTAGAGGCATTTTTTTTTCCAGGATTGCCGTGTGGTGCACTGCCGAATGCTAAACCTTGTAATAGCACCTTCAATACTTTTAGGCCTTAATCCCCGAAATGTCTCGGCTGGTCGGCCTCTAATGTCTTCACGATGTACTGTAGTGACGACCATCCCAGACGGGTATGCGCCACAACAATTGGGTAAGTGCATCTATTCTCCACCAGTTCACAAAACATTAAGCTTGTGCGAATATTTGAACACTTTGAACATTTCAAGGAATCTTGCAGTATTACAATTCGCTTTGATTCAACTATAAATTAAATGAAATTTAGAAGTATTCGAAATGAACGAATAGCTGTATATGTGACCCTTTGTAAATTTGTTTCGTTGCAGTACACTAGTGCTAGACCGTCAATACATTTCTCCAAATAAATATTGAACAACTAGTAACCTCCTGTAAAGGTGGTTTCACTGAAGTATGACTGTGCTGAAGGAAGAAAACTCTCTTCTGAACGAAATCTGCGACGCCCTGAAGCCGCACTTCAACGTTAAATGAAAATATAACCCTCACAACGATTCACCATTTGTCCAGTTTAAAAGCTTGTCATGCAGTGTATTTGCTCTAAGTAGGGTAACTTATGTTACGAGTGAATGGGCGTATTCACTGGTGAGGTAAAATGGCAGGGGAAGAGAGCAGCGTACTTGCACGACCAGCCCAGTCCGCTCCACCCAACCACACGCTCAAAGCGCCGTCTCCTCTACTCTTCTTCTTCTTCTGCCCCCCCCCCCGTACATTCGCGCATCTTTGTTCTATTTTACGCGGGGGCAGAGTAAGCTTGCCGAGCGAGTTAAATATGCCTATGATAGAACTATTAGAGGCGGGCTACATGAACAACTTGCGTAACGCGGAACGCTGGTTATTAGCTGTCAGTCAGGCTACAACGTAATTCACATCACTTAGACGATCGTAATTCACATCACCAGTGGGCCGCAATAGCTCACGAGGCACTTCCGGTACAATCTTTTTCAGCGAACACGAGTCCACAGCCCAACGTAGCCACCAGGAGAAAAACCTACGGGGATATGCTTGGCAACGTAGCGGTTCTTGCTTTATTCTTGCGAGGACAATGTTCGAAGGCATGCTCGTACACGTGCATCTTCAGCCCGATGCAACGCTGAGCGATGAAATGATCTTCCTGTTGTGAGAAAGGCTACAGAGTCTCCACAAAGCTCTGGGGGTTTCATGCGTAATGCAGAAAAAAGCTTCAAGTTCTCTAGCTGCTTAGCAGTGCACTAGAAGTTGCTACGACTCACTCTTTGGTAATGTTTGAGCCAGTCTTCCACATCATCCTCCGGTTTTTCTACGGTAAAGTCCTTGGTGGACGTTCCGATGTGCCATAGCCAGCTTGCCCAGTGAGAAGAGAGTGTTGCTCATCAGCAGCAAGGTTGTTATTGCCTTCTCCTGAGTCCTCCTCGTCTGGTAGGTGCGGTGGAAAGACGGCCAAGCGTCTGCTCCATCGGTAGAGCTGGGTCGCCTAGGTCGATGTACTCAGCTCCTTCTATTGAAATTTATCGAGTGAATGAATTTATTTGAAGGTGAGGTGAAACGGCATGGGAAAAGAGCCGTGTGCCTGCGAGACATGTCCAGGAAGCAAGGAAGGAAGGAATGGCCTTGAAACTGTGGCAAAAGCCAACGCTGAGAAATTGGCCAAGAACCGGGTATTTCTGACGAAAAACTGTTAACTGGTCAACTCTCGGTTTTTAAATCATTGAAAAGGGCAAACATTTAGAGAAATGTACAGTTAGAAATAACGGATATAGAAACTGAAGCAGATAGTTTCACCAAACACAACAGGTAAATTAATAAAGCAATTTGAAAAAAAAGTAATTTAGGAGTAAAACTAGGTTCTACATTCTGAATCTTTTTGAAGCTTTATTAAAATCCTGCAAGGCATCGACAACTTTCCCCGTCAGTGAACCATAGGGACAAATCCAACTGAGCAAGTACACTTGAAGTGGTCAACTCCAATACTACGAGACGAAAGAGGTCAGCTAATGTGATTTTGCACAATACAGCGTATTTTTTACAATATATAAGATAATGTTTTGATGTCTCAGGGACTCCACAAAACCAACAATTGGAGGAAGCAGCCAGACCAGCTCTGTGCAAATGAAATTGAGATATGTAGTATGACGCCGCAGTTTTGTGATTGTGACTTCAACTGCATGCGTGTCACATATTTTACTGTTCCAACAATAATTTAGGTGTTGAAATGGCAATGTGTTTATTATGGATGGCAAAGCAAATTCTTCTAAGATCATTTTACTCCAAAATCTAGCCCCTATAAGGAATATAGATGCTGAAAGTATGTCAATAACTGGGCCATTTAATGATGACTTAGCTAATGCATCCACCATTTCACTGAGGAAAATTCTCTTATGCCCTGTACCCAAACCAATTTAACAAACTGTATTACGGTAGAACTAATGATATGAAGGTACACAGTACGTGGGAGTTGTCATTTGCACTGAGAGAAGCACAGCGACAGCGAATCAGTTAAAATAATTGCTAAACTAGCTGGTGCAGTTAATTTGCAGAGAGCCAAAATTATCACAAAAACTCTGCTACAAATAATTGGTACAGAATCTGGAATTCGTAGAAAAAATTACCAATCTAGGATAGGGGCGAATATCCCATTCCACCTTTTTCTTCATTTTGCGAAGCATCTGTCGCAATGACTGTCCTTATTGATGAATGAACCAGATAATCACTGAGAATAGAATTTAAAGTGCGGTCTGACATTAGTTTCACTCGTTTTGGAAACATTTTCTCAAACGGTGTTTCGGGGGAACTGTTGCTATCACTGATCGGAGATACGGCACTTATTTCAACATTTGAGTTGTCAGGGCAGCTCTGTATATGATGAACTTGAGGCGTTTGAAATCTTGGTCAATAGGTTCCAAAGAACAACTCAGGCTGGGAGATAAAAACTGTTTCTGAACACCTTGCTGAGCAGTAATACAGCTTTAGAAATTATTGTACTGCCAGAAACTTGAAACGTGAATCAAGAGATGGAAGTCTAGCTTCCCATCCGGTTCACCTAAGCACGCAATCTAAGTGCCGGCTTCCCTTTTCTTCCTCTGCCCCCCTAGCGCATTTCCTTTGTAATGTTCAAACATGTTTTAGAGGCTCTCACTTTAATTATGCTGATAGTCCATTCCTCCTACTTTCTAAATGAGTTTGAAATTCCTTTGAACTCAGAATAACAGCATTTTCCTGCGTCTTGCGTCACACTTAAAAAATATTTTGTACATAAGTTGAGTTATCATAAATATGTTATTTTTTCTTAATATATGGCGTATGCTATTCGAGTTTGATTTTGATCTATTCGACCAAATCACAATCTCCTTCGACTTTGCTTAGAGCCTACTATCTGTACCAAGCTACCGAAAATAAAGATAACAGCAGTTAGGCGAAAATACGTTTTCAACAGTGACCCAGATTTGTTCTTTCTCGATCATTGGCCTCGTTTTCATACAGCACAGATAATCCATGTACAAAACAAACTGGCAAGTATAAATCTCAACACTAGTGACGTAATTGCATCTGATAACTCACACCAAATTCTTAATATAGATAATGACGAGATCTTTCCTTCACAATCTAATTTTAATTCCCACAGATTTTTATATAACACGTTATCAGATTTTTTGGAGCATACACAGACACGTAATAGGACAGCTGCAGATGGTTCCGTCAATGAGAAAAGGGCAGGCGTAGGAATAGTCTCCCAATCGCTTGGCTGGTCATTTGCCCAGAAGCCACCCGATTTCACTCTGTATTTTGAAGCGGAGCGCATAGCAGTCATCATGGCACTGCGGAAAATTCCGGTGAACGAGAACATGACAGTAATAATTACTGATTCGCTCTTGGTATTCATAGCTCTTACTACTTTTCATACGTGTCATGCCATCAGGATGTTACGATCTTTAGTTCCATCTCAA